TCGAACTAGCACCATGGTCGTGATGACCGACATCACTGCTACTGTACTAACAGCCTCATTTCTAGAGTGATTATGTCAACTAATGACTAAATTCATTTTTTCATATCACATAGCAATCTTGCAGTGTGTAAATATTTCCGTCTCATTCGGAGGAACTTTACTCACAATAAACAATCTTTGCTTTGCTAAACTCTTCGTGTGAGCGGAGCTTTTTGTGTTATTTTGTTCAAAGCATTCAGGCGCAGCGTAACACGAATGGCAAAAAATTGTCTGCAAGAGCCATCTTCCTTTGTCTGATGTGTTCACGAACGATGAAGAAGCAATAATGGAGAAATGTTTTCGTGGAAATTCAGAACCTACGAGAAAACACCGCCTTCTCCATAACACATTTAAACTGCCTTGTTGAGTGACTATCTTATTAATCTGGTTAGCGCCCTAACAGTCTTCCCTTTCATCTTATGCTTTACTCCAGGTAGATGAGCCAAGTTGTTAACCCTTATTCCGCTACTGCTGGTGACCACTACTGCACATTAACTTCATTCTACTGTCATCTCAAAGAGTGCGTGTGGCCCAGAGGTCGGAGGCGCCCTGCAAAACACGCGTGGGATCGATCCCGCGCTCTTGGTTCACCAAAACTTTCATCCCAATGAGGTCGGGAAATTTACATCACGTTTATCTGGAAGAATAGCAGCAATGGTTCGATACATCGGTAGGCCACCGCGAGTCATTGTAAAGGCCAGATATGCATTCAATTACCACCAACGATGCTTAATGGAGTCGATGGCGTATCCCTTAGGGATTGATCAACGCCGAGAGTTGTATTATTTTTTTTTACTGTCATGTACCTTTAAACAGATTAAACCCACCGCACGGTCATTATAAGTTGGTGTTTTCACATGCTTAAATGTACACTTAATACGACAACCTCAATCCAATATTATCACGAGCTTATATCTTAATACTTAACCTCGTCGGAACGTTATCACAAGCTTATACATGGTGTGTAACTCTGTCCTACTGTCACTATAAGTCAAGTCATACTGCTTCACATTAGTCCTTTGATGTGCTTGCCCCACGTAGCACCATTGATGTATTCTACACCACACATGCACATCGCATTGCTCCAACAGCCTATGGGAAAGGTACTGTCTCACTTCGAAACAACCTCATGCGAACCAAAAAATCACCTCCGCTTGCATTGTTTCAATATTGGCATATCATTATTCTTGCATTATCACTGTTATAAAACAATCTCTTTTTATTTGCTGCACATTTTTTTTCATGGAAAGGCATGACATGAATTATAACCACAATATTTGGGATATTTGCAAAACTTCGGGCCGCAGGTGTCTGTGATGACATGGTAGGCGTCTACCCACTGAAAGGGTAGTACCGTGTTCAATCTCCACCACAGACACCTGCGGTCTAGAATTTAGCAAATATCTCACCATCATTTTGGTTATAATTCATATCATACCCTACCATGAAGAGGAATAGGCAGTGGACAAAAAGTGACTATCATTTTGAAATATACTCCAGCTTCAGCTTAACTGGGTTCAATGCCGATTTACTCTCGTCAGATAAATTCTGTTGACTGGTGGTTGCTTACAGCACCTATAAGTTAAAAATACGGCTAAAAAGTGGAACGAAGGACCGAAGGACCCGTATGGTGTGGTAGTGGACGCGTTAGCCCCCAGAAATGGTAATGGCATGTTCGATCACCACCGCAAAACAATTATAGCCACAATGATACTGAAGTATTTGCGAAACTCCGCACTTAATTGGTTTAACTACCCACGTTTGAAGTATTACTCCGTGACAGCTTGCATGTGGTCCCGCGCAGCCTATTCCTGCTACAATGCCGAGCATTTAACTCTGAGCTGGCTACTACTCGGTGTCTAGAACTGGTTCGAAGATCTACTTTCCACTGGCAACTGCCATAGATGGTGATGTGAGCAAAACTCGGAACCTTGGGTGTACTTTGAACCTGATATTACCCTTTTCTGGAGGCTGTCTTATTCACTGCACCAACTCAGACCCTTGCTCTAACTTTCTCTCAAGCAGTCTTACTCTAACGGTGCTATCAGCAATCACCCATCCACGGGAATGATCCAGAAAGCACGCATCGGCATTGAACCCAGCTAGGCTGAAGCTGCAGTAAAAATCACAACGTTCAACTTTTTATTAACTGCGCATACTTTTTTCAAGGGCACGATGTGGAATACAACCGCAATGATGCATTCAAATACAACACTTTGCAATCGAATGACGAACCCAAATGCTGTTTTCGCAGTGAGCATGTCCCACGTTAATTCCAATAAGACGGTTGTGTTAAATGCATGTTAGATTTATTTTTCGCTACTAAAGTAGTGAACATAGGCACTATCCTAGCCATGCCATACAAGACCTACCTTTGTGAAAGTTGGAACAAAGAACGCTTAAGGAGTGATTAGGGCCCATCATATCAACTGATTTTAAAGCACTCAGTAAATATCGGTATGTGGTTTATCCAAGGACCTCAGGTTTGTCCTATATAATGGATGAGTGTAGCGCAGTTGTTAAAGGTGACAGCGATGCATATTGTTGTTGCCGAGTCGAACGCCTAGGGTTAGTTAAGCCTTCTATCTCTCTTGTTCGGTAAATTGGTACTAGTCCTGTCTGGAAGGATAGAAACACTGACTCTTGACAACACCTGATTCCGAAACACAATTTACGTCGCTTCTCGACAAATACAGATACTTTTTGATAACTAGAGTACTTGAGAAATTGAGGGCTTCACAGGCGTATAAAACAGAATTTGCTCCATCTACTCAAGAGTGGATATATGGCTCCTCAATGATGTAATTCCACTTCTAAATTAGTATGAATTTAAGAAATCAAAAAAAGACAAACAGAATCAAAAATCCTTCCCTAGACCCGGCAACCAAAAACACCGATGACGCCTCGGAGACATCTTCTGGTGGTGAATTTCATCATTCTCAATGTTTTCAAACTGTGGATTCATACAGGAGGAAAATGTCGTGTGAACTCCATAAATTCAGAATTCCATCTTTCCAGAATAGAAAACCTTGAACCTTGGTGGCATAGGTCCAAATTCCTGTCGTCTTTTTTGTGAAATTCACTACCAGCAGAGATGTTGATTCTACGCTGAAAGCGGGTGTTATTTCCCTAGCGTACGATTACAAATAAATTCACATCGGCCACAAGTGCTAGTCAGGTTAAATGTATGACCCAGTCGCAACCAGTAGACCAAAGCATAACGCATTTCCTTCCACTGCGAGCAACATCTCTTAAATTGTAAAGTATTTGAATTCTAGGCCAGAATCAAGTGGTCACAAGACATTTGTGTGGAACGAGCTGATAAAATGTCACGCTTGAAGCTCCCATTTCGTAACGTGTTAGATCAGGTAGTGATTTTCCTTAAACTGTTGAAAGCACACCTCTGCAAAATTTCTGGCCAGGTCAACAAACATTAGAGATATTAAACTTTATTCGGAGTTTTTACACGTTGCAGTGACAATTGTGAGTACACAGTGCCTATGGTGTGACACCGGAGGCCTAATTAATAAGAAAACATAAAACTATAACAATCTGTGAATACGAAAGAACACCTGATGTCCCATCATGATTATTCGCGTTACAAAACCATGAAAATGGTCCAGGGTTTGAAGAATGGCTAGACTCAGAAAAATTCGGTGCGAAATAACTTCTAATAAAAAAGTTTGACTTAGAATCGCTTTTAAAACAATAAATAATAAAGCAATTACTGACTTGACAATGATGTACATGTTAAAGCATACATTATGAGAGCAGCTAAAAGCATGAAATGAAGAAACTGTTACACAGTCCGTGTTATACATTCAAAAACAAAATGAATATAGGCAAGTTAATAACATAACGTCCCGCTAGCATCAAATGGGTTAAACACAGAAAACATGAAAACACAAAACGAGCGTAATTGGCGCTAGCGACCTGTTTTCTCTGCTCTAAGAAATCATACAGGGTTAAACAAAATATGCACAGCCATACTTCTCCTGGGAACCTCGACGTGCGCACCGAAACTGTACCAGTACTAAAGTTTAGTTACCTCTGACGTCGATCGATGCCGCGTCTTTCTTATATCGTATAAGCAAAGGCTAAGTCAGATGAAAGAGTTTCTAAATGCTCTCTATACATGCTAGTTTGCGGTTCATCAATTCCAGAAATATTACTAAGTTATTAGATGAGCGTAATCAAAGAGGGAAACAAAAAGTAAAGTACATTAATATGGAAAACTATCGACAATAATCAAAACGAGATATAAAGGCCATTAGAGACTGTAATAAGTCAGTTCTAATGAAGCTGTATTACAATGAAAACGCTTTGAAGCAATTTGCCTGACTGGCGAATGAGATGTGCACGCGGGCGGAAAGAAGGGCCGAGATGTGAGGGTGACGGCGAAATATGGGAAGGAAATGGTCAATACTGAGCGTCGATAACGACAAGAATACTCGTGCATTCAAGCAACCGACAAGAATGACATTCTGTAGCAGAATTCTAGTCGTTCTAAATTTACCAGCTACTTCTGAGCTTCATGTAATACTTCCAGCAAGTTAAAGTGCTTTTCACCTGCAAATTCTGCCCAAGAAAGACAGAACAATGCCTGTAATTGTGAAAAACTTGTATTCCACATTAGAACGCGCTCTCAAACCATCATTAGAAGTTTTAGAACGGTAGGTAAATTTACAACTACTGGAGTACAATGCTACTCTGTCATCATTGGTAATGGCTAGAATGCAGAAGTAGCATCACTAAAGCAAACGCAGCTTGAGAGAGAATGGAAAATGTAGAGAGAGAGGGAGAGAGAGTATGGAGGCTTTGGCAGTTTGCCAAGCGGCTTGCGCCAACGGCAAGAAAGTAACAGGTGAGCAACAGCGGTAAGGGATAACTCAGCACATAACACATACAGATTGCGTGAGAGACAGCACGACTGAAGCAAACGGTGGCGGGGAGCCGAACAGCTACAAAAGCTCGTATTGTCGAAGATGAATGCGCTGAATGATATCGCGACAGTCATTGAACACCCGTCGAATGTTTTCCGTGTCAACAGCACATGTAAAGTGTGGATAGCAATGATGTCGACCGTCGCCGGCCGCCGTTGAGATTCTCTGAAAAAAAAACTGCGGCTAGAACTGCTTAACGATTTCTCGAACAACAGAGTTGTGCAGTGAACAGAACCCGGAAGACGAACTTACAAACAATGTCATAAAAATGGCTGTCATTTCACCTGTGCTGTGGAAGGTACTTCTAGTACACCTCACATTATAAAAAGTTCACGATGAAGCATCCATGTTAACGTTAATAATTTTAGAATGTATTTGTAAATTACCGAAGGTTCATGGAAGCTTCAAATGAAACGTTAAACTAGTTTTCAAATACTTGTTACACATCCTTTTGCTAACAGTGGGAAGCATCCACGAAATGCTCATTGAAGGCATATTTGGTATTCTTATGCTGGGAAAAGAAACGAACCTACGGGAATTATACAATCAATAGCTAAAGTCAAACAGCATAGTAAGTCAACTGAATGAATCTATTAAACAAAAAACGACGAAACTTTACGGATTTTCTTTAGATATAGAATTCCCAACCAAATAACAACAACATAAATAAACAACTAAAACTAAAGGAACATCAAGATTAACCAGGTTACGTAAATCTTTTTGAATAAAAGAACGCTTGAAAACCAAGAAACGATGGAGCATAGTGAATCATGTCGATTAACAGTCTAATTTAGAGAACAATGAATGTACAAGCTGTAGACATTTTTGAATGGAGATATTCTAAGAATTCAGCACTACTGAAAATATCTGTTCATCAAATAAGAGAACACGTCGGGTCAAATATGTAGCTGCTAACTATATTCCATAAAAGAAACTAACATCATCCTCAAAAGAACTATCCAAAAAGCCCTACAATAACATCGTAACCCTATATTTCAACCCTGATCTTTAACACGCTAGTAGGAGACTACAGCGGATTGTTGTAATAAGGTCTTACCATTCCTGACATTTCTTTTAGTACATGAAAATTCATCCCCGTTCACTTATATTCAACGTATTCGAAAACATAAACACAAAGTAAGAATGTGTGGAATTCTACAAGCTACTATAGCAATTATTGAAACTTGTTCAAAACAACAACAACAATGGTGCTGAGATATTTGCAAAACCAGCGGTGTCTGTGGTGTGGAACAAACCCTTTCTGGTAGCTAACGCGTTCACCATCACACCGTGCGGTTCTTTCGTTTCGCCTTTTTCTCCGCAAGTTTTCTGTCTACCAGTGCCATCAGCAATCACCCGTCAACTTGATTGATTTGGGGATTCCAAAGCCGTAATGAACCCAGGTAAGCTGAGGCTGTTATTCAGAACAGTTATCAGATCACTACCATGAATATACCTCCCACCACAAAAGAAGAACGTGTACAACCTGCTTAGCATTAAGAGTATGTAGGCAATGAAAATGAACACTTATTAAGGAAAAAATTACTCACCAAAAATTCTCCTCTGATAAAGTATTTCGCTCTCACTACATCTTTATCATCCGCTGCATCGAAAACAGCATCAGAGGGCAACTGATAGCTTGCGAATTCTGGGAAATAAGACTCCAGCAAATATCGCTTGGCTTTGATCTTTTCAGATAGCAGATCCTGAAGCAAGTAATTTAGAGGATATGACACTATTAAGGTTATTAAATTCGGCAGTCCCGTAAGATATTACCTGCTTGTTCAAGAACAAGATGACAGAAATCGTTTTCAACCAGCGATTATTCCAAATATTTTTGAACAAAGAGAGCGATTCTCGCAATCTAAAACGCTGATTCCAATAATTATTCGTTGCAATTACTACACGTTATTTTTACAACTAATATGAGTGTTATTGTCTTTAAGCCGATTGAATCAACCGTAAAAAAAAGCTTCATTCCAAAACAAAAAGAAAAACTGACCGATTCTGTGTGCTGTCCTCCCATAGAACAAGATTGTACGACGATGATGCGCAAACGAAAATGATTGCTGTAACATCATTGAAACATTGTATCCACTTTCGCCGTTCATCACGCTGGCCACCCACATCAAACATACTGCAAAATGAACGATTAAGGAAATACAGCACTCCAAGAATTTGCGAAATAGGTCTAACATTAGGAATCAAGAGTTGGGAGATGAACAGAGGAGTTGATCTCAAAGAGAGGAAAGATCGAACGAATTCACTGAAGTACTTACTGAAAACGGACTTTATCAACTTCGAACTTTGTTTCAAAAATACCCGTCGTCATGACACGACACCGGAGTATGTCCTGAAACAAACATATGTGAACGAAGCTTAAATGAACTTCCAACCTACTGTAAGGATTAAGGACTAATACAAACAAATTTGGCGAGTCTTAGTTGATCTTGCATCTTAAACTCATAGTTGATTTTCTTCGGCTTCTGAAAACGTAAATTTCCATCCACAGACAAACTCTGTGTACCATGATGCGTGTTAAGTTTGCTAGGAGTCAGCAGAAACAAAAGCTGCGGACACTTCAATAAACCAATAAGTACGTAAGAAGTCAAGCTTCAGAGCTCCAAACAAAATCCCTTGTGTTTATTGTTTCTAACCATAAAGATTCTAGGATTCTAAGAATATTATGTCTAAGACTATTATTACAAGATGTACAATATTCTAAAATTTACTATTCGCGAATACAACACGCAAAAAATGCTGAGTAAGTTTTATCAAAGGTCGTATCAAAACACCACTTCTCATCCAAAAGTTAGTGAGCTTTCACTAACTCAACTATCAATGATGAAGTACATATAATCTTTTCTGGGTCACTATTAACATTCTCACTCAAATTTGCAAAATCCCCTCTCACTTTACCTCCGCATCAGCGAACACGTTACTATGCTCATACGGTAACAAGAGACTGAATATCTTTTCATCACTCATCGCATATGTCGTTCTCTTTTTGGGGTATAAGAACAACAGTAGAAGTTTACAACTGAACAAAGAAGAACCGCTCATATGAAAAGAACCAATCTTTTGTATGGTGTAAATTGCTTCACATTTAAATTACCGGTAAACATAACGTTAGCCGAAAACAAAGATCATTTGTGGCAACCTCGTATAAGCTCACCAAAGAAAAAATGCATATTGACTAGTCGTGCTGAGTTTAAAGGGAAGTCGGTTTTGAAACAATGTCAGTTCACCAAACACATATGCGGCTATGGACACATGGAAAACAAATGAAAGTCTTACAATATTAACTCAGTCAGTTTTATTTAGAATACGGATAGGCATCATACGTTCATTAAAGATAAAATTTTGTTGTGTAGAGAAAAAAACCACCTGTTCTGAAGGGTCATAATTGGGCTGGCGGACGACGTCGATCTTATCTAGGAAGCTGAAAGCATCATGGCTAAGCACTGGAGAAAAAACAAACAGAAAAAAACTGCTGATATAAAAACAGTCGAAGCATGTCTTAATAGAATACAAATATAACTAAGCTGTGCTGTAATTTGCACTGCCAAAGAAAACAAATGAAAGTCTTACTATTTCGCACAATCGATCAGCTGATACTCACTGCTCCGCTCATAGCATGCCTGCACACCTTTATCAACCCAGCACTTGGCCACATGGTCATAGAATTCCTGCAAAGAAGTTTATCCTCATGTGATAATACGAATACGATCCATACAAGCGGGATCAGTTCCTGTAAGTTCAAAAGTTAGAGAAGATGTGCGAATAACTATAAAAAAACTAGTCCCTAAAATTGACCTAAAGTAACCCACAAAATTCCTAAATCTCAGGCCAAAACCACATGTTAGTGAAAAGAGTTAATGGACCAGTCCCTTTAGTTCCATTTGTACCCTAAAGAACTACAGTCTGCAACTTTGGACATCACTAACAGACCAGGTAACTGAGGCTTCTACAAAAGGACAGTAAGAGAAGTATTGCCGCTTATCGAAACCCTTATTCGAAAAATCTGGCTTGAAATGCGAAAGAAACGCCAGCTAGGTTTTGGAATATCCCAAAAATGTTCATTTACTTATTCAATGAGTTGATAGAGTGGCAGCATAGTACTCAGTAGATGTTACCTGTGAGAATTCGCCATCGACTTCGTTAACAGAGTTTAATACGTAGTCCACGCTCGCCTGAGTGCTTGGATTGTCCAGGAACACTCGTGGATCGATCGTGCTCATGGCGCGCAGAATTACCTTCAATCAAAGAACGTGCCCGGCCTGAATCTTACAGTCTCAACAACATTTGTCGACTTTTCGTCTCGCTAATCGCCTCCGAATACAAAACCAGTCGCCGGGATTTCGAAAAGATGTTTTTCATACAGAAACGTTCCCATGAAACAACAATTACGATGATTCATGTTCGAAACACGTCTTCGTCGTCTAAATATAGCGCAAGACGCGAACAGTCAGCAAGACCGCCGACCAAAGGCGTCCAGTATTTACAAAGGAAGAACGATGTCAAATGGAAAAAAAGTGTCATTGTATCCGATTCAAAGACAAGGATACGGGTCAATTACAACGCTAAATGTTTAAAGCGAAGGTGAAAGCAGTAAACTCAGACCCAAACCCTGGTCTGCTGTACACCGGACTGACCTGCATTGAGTCTCGTATGTTTCTCCGAATATCCTTAATCTTCTCCATTTTCTCGGCGTCATTGAAGCCATTTATATGCAATATCCGCATTTGCTTCACAATCGTGCTCTTACCGCTCTCACCTGCACCGAGCAATAACAATCGATGTGTGGCGCGCATGACCTGCAGGAAGAAGCTCGCCAAAAATACTCTTCACGTCTATTTTTAGCACGCATTGATCAATAACTAGTAAAGAACGAAACTGAAATCTGCGCGGTTTCTTCCGATGGCTCTCACCTGCTTGTCCTTGGCGAGCTGCTCCTCGATCTGTTTGTTGACTTTCCGCGCCTCGCGGCCTTCCGCATCCGCGCCGGCGCTAGAAACGCAGCCCATCAGCCGCATCCTACCAGGCCAGAGAGACTGCGCGCACATGCCGGCGCGGTCGCCATCGCCGTACGTGACGCAGCCGCAACGCGAGTGCAAAGTCCGTCAGGGACTCATCGCTATGAAATCGCCTTCGTCCTTTAACTGTCAACGGCTATTCAGCAGATGTGACGGAGTAGCCGGTAATTTAGATGGTGAGAAGGAGTATTACTCTAGGTGTTCTAGTGAGTAGGTCTTCTCGTAGGCCATTCAGAGTAGTACCACTCGCTCTAGGATGGAAAATGAATGGCTGAAAAGTGATGATTCATTCGCATTTTCACTCGTTTATCTGTGTACGGCTGATTTTCTTTGTTGTTTTGTGCTTATCTCGTGTGTTTTCATTTACAGATGAAACTTATTTCACTCTAGGTTGTACTTCCACGAGAGGCTTTAGTGGGGTCTCGTCAGTCTCACTACCTCAGAACTAATGACGTCATTACAGGTATAGTTCCTAGTAGCTTTCATCCACGATTTATGGGTTATTTTTATGCTGTGCTACAGCAAATGTACCTCCTTTCACACATTTATCTTTTCGTTGTAAAAATTAAGTTGGATTGTCTCTAAGCAGTTTTTGTGTTTTCGTTTTGGACTATTGCCCTTCAATGTCGATTCGTGGTTGACCTATCATGGATTTTAGAAAGCTATTGAATTAGTAACAACTGCTACCGAACAGGACAAGGCCGGGAAATATGAGAGTGCCATGTCGTACTATGACCAGGCGATATCCTATTTTATACACGCTATAAAATGTGAGTTCTTATCTAACGACTTGAGTTTTCTTCCTTTGGGATGTTAAATTCATAGTTCGAAGTTATTGTATACCTTAGAATGTTCGTATTTCTACATGGAAGTGAATTGAGATCTAGATATTTTGGTTTATATAAGGAAACTGAGTTCATTTTCAGATGAAGCACAAGGCGACAAGCAGAAGGAAACCATTAGATCGAAGTGTACTACATATCTGAACCGATACGAACAAATTAAGAAGTTCCTTAAGGAAGGCAAGGATAAAAAGCCTATGAAGGTGAGTCTAGAAATTTGTAGTCCTTTCTACATATGGCATTTACTTTGCGCTATGTGTAAGGTGAACCTCCCGACGGTTTACCACATCATCGTGGCTAGGTGTTCCTGGATGTTGGGCTGCCATGCATAGCGGGTGGAGTCGTCCTCCCAGCAGGTTCGCCCAGGCTGAGTAGGTGTCCGGCGTTTCCATCAGGAAGCCCAATTAAAAGTAGACAAGTACCAACATCTACCACCGTCCTGGCATCAAACTAATCGCATGGTGGCAGGTCTCCCTCTGATCCACAAGGGCGACGACTACATGTGATGCTGACGTCTGAGGCAGACTCGCCAGACTGACCTCGGGACCCCAAGGAACCACAGTGACTAAACCAGCAAAACTCCGAAAAATTGGAAGTTATATTGGGGCCCGCACAACCAGTGAAGACAGGATCCAAGTATGCATATAATGGTTAGATGTTCTGTAAATTATTGTCCTTACACGCGATAATCAAAACGTTTTACCTCATTACGATGATTTTTCTATTATTTTGTTCTGTGGAATGTGTCGGAGATATGAAAATATTTATATAAGTTGTTGTTCTCTTTCTTAAATGTCTCTTTCGTTTTGCTAATCACTTGCTAATATCAAGTGTGGATTTTGGCCTACGGAAGCTCCATGTCACTACGTTACTACGTTTTGTAAATCTGTTTTGTCATAAACAGAAAATCATATGTAGTGTAAATGTTCAGAGATATGGAGTTATGAAAAAAAGTCAAAAGGTTTACGTACATCCAATGAAGGTGCGTGGTGTGTCTATTTCTTACGTAAGTCTACGTTGTTTGCAAGAGATTGCTGATGGCAAAAAGATCGATAGAACTAGCTGAGATACATGCGAAGCGAAGGACCCGGATGGTGTAGTGGTGAATTGCGCTGCTCCCCGGTAAGGACAACAGCGCGTGTTCGTTCTCCACTGCATACACCTGTGGTCCGGAGTTTTGCAAATATCTCAGCATTTCATACGAGTTCTACGTTATTTGTCAAACAACGAGCGATTTTTTGGCTATCATCCATTCGTTTTAGTGTTCAGAATACGATATAGTTGCTCCATTTCTTAGTTGTCTTGAAGGCTTATCCCTACGGGATTGCGATTTTCACACGATTTTAGGAAGGTGGTAAGGATTCGAAGGATAGCGATTCTGATGAGGACACAGACAAGAAGAAATTACAGGTAATTCTTAAAAGCTACGTCTGTTTCCAACTTATTCACCTTATATTATTTCTAGTGGGAAGGTAGTGCTAAACACGTTATTTTTGACAACACGAGTCGCACTCAGGTTACGTAGACGTGGTGTTCTAGTTCTTAAGTGAATTTGAAGTTTATGTTAGGTCAAAGAAAATCCCTATTTGCGACTTAGGACGTATCTCAGTTAAATGCAGCTATTTGCAACATGTGTGCAGTGTGAGTGGTCTCACTTTAGAAAAAATACATCTTTTTTGTTATCAAGTTCCCATTTATTCTTGATAGGTAGGAGTTAAGGACACATCTAGCGCAGTGTTCGTAGGCGCCCTGCAATACACATGGGTTCGTTCCCCATGTTCAAGGTTCACCAAGCTTTCCATCTCTCCATGGTCGGCAAATTGGTATCAGATTTGTCTAGGAAGATAGCACTGGCTCGATACATCGGTAGGCCCTGCGAGACATTGTAAAGGCCAGATGTGCATTCACTCACATCCAACGATGCTGAATGAAGTCGAATGCATGATGCATCCCTCACGGATTGATCTGCGCCGAGAGCTATACCCTTTTTTTAAGTAGAAATTCTCACAAAATTTTGTCAATAACGTTATCTATTTAAGGACTTGGATTTGTTTTTATGAGAATTTAAGTTTGAACCGTGGTTTAGAATTGTTTTGAACACTTTGTCTAGAGAAGTTATACCGCTAACAGTGAAGTTGCGTACTAGCTATTTGCTAACCTCATTGTGTGTTTTATTGTGATGTTCGGCTTTTTGAGTATATCTCACCAAAACATGTAAACGGATCTGTGAGGTCACGCAATTATTGGAATTTTTTGAAGTCCATCATAAGTTTTATGTAGAAACATCCATGTGGTTACTAGCACTGCACTGTTTTTCTAGTGTAACGTCTTTGAATTAACTTTTATCACCTTTAAAGGTTATGAGGTCCAAAAATGATGATTTAATTCAACTCCAAGATATTTGTTTAAGGACAAATTGTCGGGTGCTATTGTAATGGAGAAACCAAATGTGAAATGGAGTGATATTGCTGGACTCGAAACAGCAAAAGAAGCGTTGAAGGAGGCTGTCATATTACCGATTAAATTTCCTCAACTCTTTACTGGTACGCGTTTGGATTCACAAATTTTCCTTTGCACCTTGCTTGTTATGGTAGTTGTAGCCTTTATACTGACCACACTGTCAATCCCATATTCTTTGGAACAGAGTAATTTGCCTTTATGAATATGAAGCATCACCTGACCGAAGTCGCAAAAGTATAAGAATGGTTGTACATTCCTCGTAGAAGAAAGTTTCTCGTTGCTTTTTGCCTTCTGTTCTAGGGTATTGGAGGGTTAATGCAGCGTTTGGAATGGAGCGGTTTCCATAAGCAGTTTTATATGTCGTTAAGATATATCCTTTCTATTTCTACCTTCTAGGAACCACTGGTACCGTGTTTCGCTTTGTTTTGTTGACGAACATAGTATGCTCAGCTAAATTTTTGACCCATGCGTAAAGAAAAGATGAGAAGCGGTTCAGTTCCTGTTCTCTCTAAGCTTACCACGTGAGCTGAAGTTCTTGAGGATGTCAAATATTATTGAGAAAATACCTGTATTATAAACTGTGTGGTGAGATTTGTTCTTTCTTTAGTTAACATAGCAAACCTTAAAACTGCTATATCGAAGTCGATTTATCACCTTTTAAGTGTTACATAAAGTCTCCTTCTTGAAGTGTGCTTGGATATTCATTACATCTATCGCTGCAGCATTGATAGATAGAGCACTAGCACTTCACCTGGCAGCTTTTGAGTTTGGTTCAGTTCGGTTGGTACAACCTCATGTCCAATGAGTGAATTACATAGGATATAGAGCTCAGGGAGACTAAGCAAAAAAGCGCATGGAATCTCAAAACTGAAATTTCTGGATCTTTGCGAAACAAGGTTTTACACTGTCGTATAAGGACTTATTTTGACCGGTTACCTATTCTCAGTTGCATGCGCCCACGACTTGTACACAATTAAAATATCTATTTTTATTAAGCGTTGAATGATTCTATCAATAACAGAGTGAAATCTGGCACATTAAATAAAACGCATAGAACAGCATCCCGTAATATAGCACAGCAATATTGTCTGAGCCTTTAGCCCAACGATATGGTTCAAAATGATATCGTATGAACTTAGTGTGCTTTAAGATGTTGGCACGATGATGTTTTCTGGAAGAACGGTGTTCTTTTCTGAACTTCCGTCTTCTTTTTAGCTCAAAATTTTATTATGTTTTTTCACGCAGGAGCGGATAGTTCACAGTGGATCCATTTTAAATCAGTTGAGCTTGCAAATTGTGCGATTGTACGTGTTGGTATCCGGTAGCGCTTTTATGAGTTCGTGCCGTCAGTGCCATGTCTTCTTCCTTCATCATAAATAAGCTGGCTCCATAGAGTGCCGGCGAGACGAGACATTGAGTGAACGCTAGGAACATGCAGATAGCCGGCCAGAATGCATCTGTCTGGATACGCCAAGTGTGCTTAGCATGCATCATTGTGACCGCATAGAATGGTACTTGGTACATCGGGCTGAAAGTTGATGGCTTATTTGCTAGTACAACTGAGTGATTTTCATAACTGTTTTTTGTTTGGTAATGATAATTGGAACGGGTTGTTCCTTTCTATTTGAGTAATCAGCATTAAACCCTTGAGAAAAAAGGCAATCACTCAAATTATTGTGCTATTTGTAACGCGATAAATATCCTGCTTCTTCAACACTAACAACCTCGCGGTTGCTTAAAAAGCGACGATAAATACAGTCATAGAGAGTGGTTATTATACCTACTGTTGACTTGTTTCTGATTTTTTCCTACTGATTTTTATAATCGAGCTATTTATGTCCTTCAGTCATGTGACTGAATGCTTCACTTTTTGGCCTGTTTCTCTATTTCTCATATTTGTTTTCATGTGGCTCAGAATAAGTCTTGTCTTTGCTCTAGTGTCTAATTAGTGATTTCGACCTCTGGATGTGTAATGAGCAACGATCTCTATTTAAGGTTCCTCATTAGCAATGGTTTGTGAAAAAAGCTCCTTTTGGTTTCTTGTTCTAGTGTGACATGGACCGTCATCAGTTGTTTTATGTACGAACATTGCTTTTGTATTCACCGAGCGCGTGTTAGTAGTTAGAAGCTAGTTAGGAATTCCATAAATTTCACCAAACTGTTTTTCAACTTAAATGGAAACAAATCGTCCTGAAAGTCTTCTCATTTCTTCATATAATTTCGTGAAAATATCGTAGAAATTGTACAGGAACTCACTAAATAGGACCTGTCATTTCGTCTGTTTGTACTTGTGAAGAAGTAACATGCAAGCACTTCTTCCATAGCTTTGAAAAATCGGACTTTTGCTGTAAGACTTACGGAGGATTCTATAAAGTTCGAAATACTCGGTAATTCGACTGAGCAAAACATTTCGTTCATAGTCCAAAAAACTCTCATAAACTTCAAAACTGCGGAGATTTTCGGACAGCTTGGTATTTTGGCGTTTTACTCGATTTTTTTTGCTTGATTGAAATTCAATTCTTTTAAAAGTTATTTCGAATTTTAGCTGAAAAGTCGATTTTACAACACTGAGTACTGAGTTTTATGTGTGGTTGGTTGCAAAGGCTACTAGTAGTCAGGCTAGTTGCTTATTCCTAAATTATCTCGTATAGTTAAGTAAGTACTGCTCTCTCAGTAAGACTCATTGCTGCTGTACTTGATTTGACTGACATTTTCTCAGCAGAAACTAGAAGCTGATTTGTTGCCGGTTTTTTAAAACAGGTTTGTATTGAACGTGAAGAAACGAAGGTGTACCTGAGCAGAAACGCGTAGACGAGAAATCGGCTCTTATACAATCCAAGCGACTGGAATACGATAGGGCTGTGGTAGAGTATTCCAAGCACACGTATGTATGCATAAGAAGAGAACGCGGCCGGTATGAATACGCCAAGAATCAATAAATAGGTTAGGAATTTCAACCCAGAATCTGAGTGACCCCAGACGCAATGTCGTAACGAAGGATCGTAGATGACAATGTGCCCATTGGTGGCGGATGGTAAGGCTAAGACCAACGATATCACCCAGGAAAGCATACAAAGTATGCCTGGCCGAAGACCGAACAACTGATCGTAGTGAATTCTGGCAAATGTCAGCAGATGCACGCCTGCGATACAGAGGGCCATTAACGCCATTACTGTCCATACCGTGCAGGTCAGGAGCGCCTGAAAATAGTACTGTGCAAGGTTTGTCGGAATAAACCCACAAGCTAGTTAATTGTAAAGAGCATATCTTTGTGGAAAGGCAACTTCAAGAAATTTTTTAGAGATATCTTTTGTATCTCACGATGTGAACGTGAAATAAGTGAATTACTGAGCATAGTGTGACCTTTCTGTCAAACTTGGCCAAACTGTTAATGTTACCTTTAGAGGTGTCTTAATAGTTTCTCACTCGTCAGCTGTATTTCTAGAGACCTACGAGTGTTTGGTTTTTATTCTGTTCTGAATGCTAGTTATTCTAAGCTTATACATTCTTCTGTCTTTATAAGTAAAAGGTGCTACAGATCAGGTGAAGAAGCAGTTGATTCTTTTTAAGCCGAGGAATTTGACATTGTTTGTGAAATCGTAGATTGGGATACACCTACGGTAAATCTTTTGGAGTCATGGTTGTGTAGTTGGCTAAATTCGTCCTAAGATTGGATTGCTCTTGGTTGCATATAAAAAAGATAAGTTAGAAACAAATTGAAACACTTGCCTGCAATCGACACATGAAGTTGCTGTTTTGAAATACGTTAACACCCGTCCATATTGTGTATAGAAATACTGGCAAAAGTACGAGTAATGCAACAAGATTGGTAACACACAAGTGTGCGATGAAATGGGATGAGATGAAGTTCTGGTAAAGTTTATGAATCAGAATGTATAGTAGTAGAGCTATATTTCCGATAATGCCGACTGTAGTGAAACAGCCGAATACTATAGCAATTGCTGGGGATGGAGGTGACACGTGGGTCATGTTGGCATAGGCCTCGTCGATTTCGGAGGAGTTCCACATTTCCGTTGTTCCGGATTAGTCCTGACAATGTGATGTGTGGGGCGTGGGATCCTGGCCGCGCTTCTGGCGTCCGTCGTCTAGTCGTGAGATCTTTCGCCGCCGAAGGCGCAACCTCCATTGTCACGCCTCCTCCTCTTTGCCGAAAGCGCTGCGACCCCTCGGGCGCCGGAGCGATCAATGGGCAGGACGGCCGCGGTGCCGTCGGCAGCAGCTGTTCCAGCGGACAAAGCGCGGACACGTCACTGCCGTCAAGACGAATCGCGTTGAATGAGTTTGAGAGACGCAAAATTGGCTCGTAGCGCCCGGGAACGGTCTCTAGACCATTGAGGACGAGGTGCACCGGTGGTTCTCGTATTACTCATACGAGATGTTTTTTCGACGCTTTAGCATTGATTGTATCTTGCAGTGATTAGAATTGAGAGAGCAAGACAGTTGCTTTAGCTTCATCCAAAGAAGAAAGGGAAATCATTTTCATTCCATACCTCAGGGATTTGCTGTAGAATTTCAGTTGTTTAGGAAGATGTTTGGATCATAATCACATTAGGACTAGGTCAAGGGGAAATAAAAGTTGTGAGAAGAAAAACAGTGAGACACAATTTCTTTGATGTTAGCTGAAAGTCGTTGTGTTTATCACAAAAATTGTGGAGTGTGGGTATTGTTGTATGATGTTATGGTATAGCATGGAATGTTACTACGTTGCTTAATCCACTATCCATTCCGGAATGTGAAGAGTTTTCGAGGAAAGCGGATGGTTTGTAGATAGTGTCTTATACAAGTGACTTGTTAAAATCACATGCATCTATGTACGTATACACACATGCCTACTCTATCACCATATATGTGTACACATATAAACATATATGTATATACATATATACATATATATATATATATATATATATATATGATAGAGTAGGCATGTGTGTATACACATATACATGCACGTATACACACGCTAGTGTGTATATATATGTATATATATATATGCATACAGTAAAATGATGTGTAGTCTATTTGGTCTGATTTCTTCTGTTTTGTCATTGTTGTTACTAGTTTTTTCCTTTTCAGTGTTTGTAGTATGCAGTGAACATTCTTTGTTTTGTTGGCGTCTGAGTCTGTGCTGAGAGAGAAAGCTGACGTTTAGGTTTAATTTCTATTATGTGTTCTCGTACTTCATATTTTACCGATGCTAATGACATACGTAACGGTGCGATGTTCATATATATACATATATATATATATATATATGCATATACATATGTATACGTGTATATATATATATATATATTTCTAGACACTTAAGTAACTTGTGTTCGTTTCAATCCCTTGCAACCATTATCCGTAGAAGTCGCGTTCATGTGTAAATCTGGTTGTCTCTTGACGATCTGCTGTCTTATCTTCTTATTGATATGCTGGTTTTTTCAACTTCTTGTGGTTCCGAAGGAGATTTTTTTACTGGAATAGTCATGATCGGTTGGGCCATTCATTATTCTCAAGCATGGTGATGTTTTGTGCGGTAAAATAAGTAATGAACAGATGTGTCTTAGACGAAATCGGTGTAATATTATTCATTTTGGGTAGTCATAAATGCTTCGAACAGGTGAAAATTGTTGGATTGGTAGTATTACAGATTCTGACGAAGTTTAAATGGTAAGACAACTTTACAATCATCAAAAAAGTTCGTTGGCACATTTATCATAATCGTTAACTTTTAGTACCTTGTGCTTTGATGATCTGGTAAAGACGTAAAAAGATAGCGGGTGGTACCATCTAAAGGCCACCGAAAAGTCATAATCTGTTTAGTGGAAATTCGGTCTTATTGAAGTGTTTGAGAATCTCACTTCGGTCAAACCAATGCGGTCATCAATTTCTGTTTAGAATTAGTTTTTTACCACATGTCAAAACGGTGATAACTTCTGTTCCTTTAATTCGTGTGGCATACATTGATCGAGCTCTTTCACACTTTCAATGTCTTCCAAATGAACGTTAAATTGTGGGCGTTGAATTCTTCCTTTAAAAGTCGACTAGTTTTTAGAGGAGGTGCTTTGATTGTTAGTTTCTGATGGTCGTTGTGAACTAATGATTAGAGCTGAGCGACTTTCTTTATGTAGACTGGTATCTCTTGTAAGAAACGTTGGACCATTTGCACCTGGAAACACTTTCCTCATTCTTGACTCAAGTTGCTGCCGAGCCTATGTTTTTAAATTTCGATTTTTGAAGTAAAACAGCACGCTTTTCTTGCATTGCGCGTATCTTTTAAACCAGCCTATTGTATAGGAAATCAGTTAAGCTTTGAAATACTTTAGAACAGCAGTGCAAACATTCGATATGTGAAATACTGCAAGATACTATAACAACAAAATCCGCCATCGTCTCTAGATCGACTTAGTGACTTAATGCAAGTGCGAAAGGAATGTTAGTTTAGTATTTGAAGTCTAGCAGAATGTTTTCTAATTTTTACACATAGTTGGTGTGGTTAGTGCCATAATCGTCAATCCATGAAAAGGCAAATGACGAAAAATAACTTTTAATGGACAAGAATGGGCATCTCTCCTCATTTTCAAATATTTTTTTGAAAAGTAAAGTATGGGAGGAGTTTAATTACGTAGTTCTTTTCATCATAAACAAGATCGTAGTATAACTTGTTACTTTCGCCGTTATATTTTCAAGCATGATAATTGCAAGATTAAATTCTCATACGAATTCAATTCGTTGTATCCCGTTGACGGTTGATTGCTGATGGCACTGGTAGATATAAAATTATCTGAGAGAAGGGCGAAGCGAAGGACGCCCATGGTGTTGTGGTAAACGCGTTAACCCCGGAAGGGGTAAGAGCGTGTTCGATCTCCACCGCAGACACCTTTTGTCCGAAGTTTTGCAAATATCTCAGCATCATTGTGGTTGATTTCGCATAGTACCCTGCATTGAAAATTGCTGTAGGCAGTGAAAAAGTTAAGTTTTCATAGCTTTAAATTGTAAATAAATGGTTTGTAATTAACCTACTTCATTCATGACGTGAGTTACTTTTTAGGTAATCGGAAACCTTGGCGAGGAATTCTATTGTTTGGTCCTCCAGGCACGGGTAAATCTTACATAGCAAAAGCCGTAGCGACGGAAGCAGATAACTCGACATTCTTCTCGGTTTCCTCATCGGATCTCATGTCTAAGTGGCTTGGTGAATCGGAGAAGTAAGCAAATATATTTCGATTTGCTTTCCACTAAACATGTCGATTGCGCTGTTTTTGCAATTCTAAAAGATCAGCAAGATAGTAGAACGTAGTGAGAAATGAGAGAATGTGTTAATGTAAGCAGCTGTATGAATTTCACGTTTAAACCAAGGCGTTTCAGCATAAACCGTCCTGAATAATAATAACCTTCCACACAGTTTCACAAAACGTCTACAGGGTAAAGGAGTTAGTAAAAACACAAAACTATATTTGTGAAGAAGTCGGGGATATGTCTGTTGATGTTTCTGGGCGTATCGTAAATCATAAACTCCATTCGGATTATGACAAAAGTGCGAAGCACTCCATCTCTGTTTATCATTTTTTATCTTCTTGAAATGTGTACCTTATTTTTTTAAACGATATGGTGGGATAACAAACTGTGCCTTTGGGAAATGCTGAGCATTCTTTCGTTCAGTTGTGATAAATATGTCTATGCAATTAATGCGAAACTTTGGTTTAAGTATTGCTAATGAGGTTTTAGAAATACATATTTATTATACTGCATTAATAAGATGGGAACCTTTTTTTCCTAATTTCAGGTTGGTTAAAAATCTTTTTGCGCTCGCTCGTGAACACAAACCGTCGATTATTTTCGTTGATGAGGTTGTTTTTCTTCGTCTCCACTACTTTTTTCTGCTGCTTGATGTATCTTTGACAAAATGCTAGTCATTCTTACATTCCATTAACGCTACCCAAATGGTACAAGAATGTAAGAATGTATGCATTAATAATGGCATTTCTTTTTGCAACGTGGGAACGCTCTCAAACTACAATATCTAGCATTCGAATGTTTTTTAAAAATAGGTAGTGCATCCTGGAGGTAGTGCTGGTGTGTCTATCTCATCAAGTGTTGAAGAAGAATGGTCATTAAGCTATAATATTTTGTTTATTTCATGTTTTGTTTTGAACACTGCAGTCATTTGAATTGGATTTCGTGTAACATATTCATTCAGTACGAAAAATGCTATAAAAAGCTGTTCAGATTGACTCGTTGTGTTCATCGAGATCAGATAACGAAAGCGAAAGTGCGCGGCGCGTGAAAACCGAGTTCATGGTACAAATGCAAGGTGTTGGGCTGAACAACGATGGTGTTCTGGTGCTTGGAGCTACAAATATACCATGGATTTTAGATGCTGCTATTAGAAGGTTCTGTATTGCTTTTTTGGTAGTAGTAGAATTTTATTTACTTTTTTGATATACTGATCTAGAATCTTGTGGTTCTTCTGATACACTCTCAGTCCTGTACCATATTACCCATGCCACCTGTAATTTCTCTTATCATCCATTGACTCGAAGGGTTCTAGTAGACTTCGCCTTTCTCCTTGCTTTGAAATAAGTCTTGAATTCCCGATAAACCTGAATAACTTTTCATTTTTCGCACGAGGCTCCTCTTTTAAAACGTTTTAGCCTAACCCGCTTGAATTCTCTCGTGAGATCCATGGTATGTGCATTTCATTGGAAGAGAGGTAGTGAACCACATTGGAAGAAATATTTTTGCTTGCTTTCGAACAGTGTTATTATAGTGGTGCTATACTCGCGTGGTGCTTTGTAAATAGTTCCGGCGGGTTCCGTTTCACTGACATAAAAGGTTGCGATGTTGTGAAGGAAACAGGCAGAAACGAAATTTATAAACAACAAACTCGACTAGTCATCCACTATGAATTCGTGCTTAAAAGTAGCCCTCTCATCACTGCATTCGATTGCAGTCACATGTTGGCTGAAGCACTGTGCACCGCTCTGACATGTCTCGTTGGGTCTCGTACTTCTCCACCGATGACAGTAGTCTCGAAGCTCGCAGATGGTAGTGTCGGTTATCGTTCGTCGAATACAAATGAGCTACGATACAAAATGAAAGACCATTTTGCAGAAACTGAAAACCAAAAGGCACTTGTACTTGTGTGTTAGCACTCATGGAGAAAACGAAAGTACGCACCCAGCCATCGGAAAGTAATGGTCCGACGGACTTGACGATCTTTAAAGTTCGAGTATTTCCCAGTGTTTCCTGCTATCACGGAGCAAATTCTTGAAAGGCATGGCAACAGAAGTGATCTAGCAGCTGTACCACACGTATGATCATTGCGCATTTTAATTGTGATTTAAAGAGTAGTAACCTAAGGTTCTGCCTATGTTGCACCCATACATACGAATGTCTCTTTATTGTTGGTAACATTGAAGCAAGATATTATTCTACTCTGGGAAATGCTGTCGGGTAACGAGCGTTGTATTGGCGCAGATTAGTACTCAAGTGAAGTTTATTGGTTGAAATGAAAAAAATGAAAACAGCCGAAATGAGTCTGTTTTCTCTTACTCAACAGCAAACCTTGACCGCATCTGGAGCCGATGGTCGGTCAGAGACTAGGAAAAATATGTGGTATTCTTTTGCTGAGCAAAACGTTTACTCATTCTGGACTGATCGCATTGTGTGATCGTAATCTACAAGTGGTTGAGAGGACCTGTCATTGACCTAACATTCACCCCTCTGTATACATTAGCTTTACATTTAGAGATGAGCTATTTGCAAAAATTTTAGTCCCTAACGGAAAAATCGAAAAGCGCAATGAGCTTTGCCATTGTTATTCGGTTTTCTACAGAGCCTTTCGTCCTAGTTATTTTGACAATATTGCAGGCGTTTTGAAAAACGTATCTATATTCCGCTTCCTGAAATGAACGCACGTAAAGATATGTTCAGACTCGATGTTGGACGCAACAATAACAATTTAACCGACAATGATTACAAGGTTCGTACAATGTTGCATGCTATGATTAATTTTATAGTTTTAGTGAAACTGTGGTGAACACATTCTTTCGTAATTCATCAATAACGTTTCAGTTTAGTTTCATGTCTTTTACTATACATATATGATATACTTCATACTTGTTACTTGAATAGTCTCCATTTTTCGGAGATTTGGTGGTTAAGCCATTGTGCTTCCCTGGAATCCAGAGGTCAGCCTGGCCAAAGTCTTTCTCGGGTCATCGCCACCACAGGCAGTCGCAGCTGTTGTGGATCGGAGGGAGATTTGCTACCATGCGACTTTGATACCAGGGTGATGGTGGATCCTCGTAATGGTTTACTTTTAGCAAGGCTTCCTGGTGGAAACGCCAGGCTCCTTCTTAGCTTGGGAAACCCTGCCATGGGATGAATCCTCTTCTGTACATTGCAGTCCGACACTCAGGAATACCTCCCAGCCACGATGAGGCGGTAAACCGTTGGGAGGATACATACATATATATATATATATATACATATATATGTATATATACATATGTATATGCGTACATACATATACATGCATATATATGCACCTATATATATACATATACGTATATATATATATATATATATATATATATATACTTGCATGCTACGTGTATGTATAGGGCAGATGGCACAGTGGTAGTGATGTCGGTTATCACGAGGATGGTTCTAGTTCTATTCTATTCCCGGTCAACCAGGCCTCTGATCCCTCCGGAATCGTGAAATTGGCACCGGACTTATTCGGGAAAAAATCACTCTGCGATCCAGTTGCGAACGTTCCAGCCCGTCTGTCTCAGGACTCCATGGAGAATCGACTCGACCAGCATTTCAAGATGAAATGAAAATTCTCAAGCAGACAGCCGAAGCCACACGTAAAGGTTGGAAGACCTTCGTGGATGATGGATGCGAGGATGATGGATTCACACGAATGGAATGTGAGAAGTGCTGGGATGGACACAGTAGACGTGAAGACGGCTCATGTAAAGTAAGAACATGTATATATTCATATATATATGTATATATGATATATATATATATATAATTACATAAACCTGCATCACGTGTATCACAGTATGTTGATCACAAGATTCCTTGCATTCGATTCGTTTCCTCGCTTTCACCATCCACGAAGGTTTTAGAATTTTTCTGACTGTTGCTAGGGCTGCTGTTTGAGGATTTTTTCGCATTGGTCACAAATATCTGGTCAAGTCGTTCCTCCGTGGAATGCTAAGATAGCCACGATAGCCATTCATCCGTGGATTAGAGGGGGTGAGCTTATACCAAGCAAATCTAGTACCAAGTTCCTGACTCCGGAGGAATAAGAAACATGGTGGACTGCGGCAGGGTCGGACCTGGTTAGTTTGGGGCGTCATCGCAGAATATGGATAGATGTGGATATACGAAGATATGTATACATATGTACATGTGTCTATATATATATATACATATATATGATATATTTGCATGTTTGGATATAACTGCAGTAGTGCTAAGATATGAGCACAATTCGGAACTCCAGGTGATCTTCAAACCCGCGATAACCCTTTTCAAGAGGTTATGTGTTATGTAGTACACCATCTTGTCTTAGAGTGTTCTAAGGTGGCCTTGTGTTTAAAGGGTTAATTATGGTCCATGCTTTGTATGCTTTTTTGCGACAGTGTTTTTTATATGACCGTAACGAATTGTGTTGTAATTTGTTTTGCAAAATTCAGATATTGGCTGAGCGTACAGAAGGCTACTCTGGTTATGACATTAATATTCTAGTCAAGGATGCTTTAATGCAACCGGTTCGACGTGTGCAATCTGCTACTCACTTTAAGTAAAGATAGTAATTGTGTTAGCGGTTTTTGTTGTTATAGCAAAAAGTTTTCTTAGTTTTTTTTGCAAACTCTTCAGTTTATAAAAATACTTTTAAGATATGTGAGTGGACCATCACGAAAGGATCCTTCGATGATAGTGCACGATCTGCTGACACCTTGTAGCCCTGGTGATCGCGGAGCGATGGCTATGAGCTGGCTCGATGTGCCCGGAGACAAACTAGCTGAACCTATACTTACCATGGTAGATACTTTATTTGTTCTCTTCTTTGCTTAATTTGGAGAGAAGATGCGAGCTTGGTGGTAAAGAGCGGTTATTAGGTGAGTTGTAAAAAATGTTGTATTGCTGAAACCTAGCAACAGACATTGGAAAGACGACAGAACTACTTGTGGAGAACTAAATTTATTGTCCGACGTTTTTTATGATTAAGAGCATTAGTGCTTTGAAAACGACACTTCAATGTGCATTCCGAATTCTCTAGCTTAGTTAATTATTGGCACTGCATAGTTGATGGTAATACCTCCCTATCGGATTAAGGAAAAACATAGACATATCTTGACCCAAATTAACTTTGAAATAAATTTGTTTAGCAACTTGGAATACAAATCTCTGCCGTTTCTGACTAAATTTTCGTCTTGGTTTTTATTTGTTCAAAATAAAAGTTCACAATATTGTGTGTTCACCATCGGTGGGGTGGGTTTTCCCGGAAATGTGTAGCCCTGCCAAATACTTGCAGTTTTTCTTTGACTGCGGATTTTCTGGTTTTTTAAGAATAAAATAAGAAACTTTCCTCGACAACTAAAAGATTTGGATGTTTGAACATGAATGCTTTTGCTCTATCGTTCTATGAGTATGAATGATATGTGTGCTACTATTTATTGTGTTACCATTGTGCATATTGCAAATGCATTGCTGTCGGCATTTGAAAGTATTTAGCTGCTTATGTCGAGTCTATTTTGGTGTTTTCTATCCACACATTCCATGAAATAACCATAGCGATTAAATTGAAATGGCAGTAGTTGTTAGTCAAATTACCAGTCAATGAATTGTTTCGAAAAGAGGTATTTTCTAAGTCATTAATTGCAGAGGATGATTTTTCTGCTTTTGTTTGTTCTCTTTTTGGTTTCATCCCTCCCATTTCGATCTGCTTTTGATTGGGCATCGAATTAATACACACAGTGCGGTGAAAAAATCTCTGAAACTCACTAAACTGAATGTGAACACCATAGTGTCCAAACGGAGCGGAATGGGTGAATACACGCAAGGTCCTAATTTGACTCCGCACGAGGTCAACCAAGCTCATCTCTTCCACGTCAGATAAGTTGGTGTTAGACTTTTTTGCAAAGCTCTTACTGTAGTTCAAGACCTAGGAACACTATTGCGTTGCTATCCCAGGATTTCAAGGACAGTCGACTTCACCAGCATTAATGAAATAAAGAATACTGAAAATCCCCAACAACCCAACCCACATACAAATGTGGAGACTGGATGGTGGATGAACGAACCGAATGGAACAGCTGCTGGAATGCGCGTAGTGTGTAGTACCAGGTGTCGTACAACGTATATATGTGTATGTATATACATATATATATATATATATACACATATACGTATATATTCATATAGGTATATATATGTATATGTAATATGTACGTATAATTACATATTACATACAAATGTGTTCACTATGCGGATCCCAGCACTTCTTGCATTTCATGCGTTCTCCTTACTTTCATTGTCCACAATGGTCTTCCCAAATGTCGCATGTTGTTTCGGCTGCTTCTTGAGGACTTAGTTGTTATGAATGTCGTAGAATTCTGTTCGATTGGATCCTCCTGGCATTCTCAAGAGATAGACAGGCTAAGGCATTCTCACTTGAGAAGTCGAACTAGCGCCTTTGCTTCCTGATCGACGACAACACTAACCACTGCGCCATCGTTTGCTACTATATCATATCAAATATAGCCCACTGTTTTGTAAGAGTAGGTCGTACTGCATTGTCCGAGAAAGGTAGTGGTTGATACTGGTGGGAATTGCCAGTGACAGTTTTAGGTTGTACTACTCGTTCTTATTGTCGTGGTGATATATTCTTCAGGATTTTGAATAAGCAATATTCTGAAAGCAACATATCGGGGCTGTACAGTTTAGCCAACTGTTGTCACGCAGAAACCAGGCGGTGCAACCCTATCGTTTGTGATACTGGAAAAGTTATGGAGCTGCCCTTTGCTGCATTTTGCGTTAGTTGTTTGGTTTCAACAGAATGTCATGTCTTGGAAGTCCCGAGGGGCGAATTGCACCAGGTGGTCACCATGTGGATCAAGTTTCGCATGTAGCTCGATCGATGTTGGGTTGCCAGTTGCTTGTATTGTTCTTCTAGGCTATAATTTCCAATCACATTTTTTTTTAAACAAATTTTCGTCATTGATGAAACAGTAAAAATTTGCAAATGCTAATTAAAAGATGCAATTTGGAGTGTGGAACGTCCAGTGAAACTCCACTTTGCGGTAACTCATCGTATTATGTTCCGGGAATTTGTGATATGAGCGGTACGAGGTGCTTTCACGAAGTCTGTTCATTTCCAGATAAAATTAACCAACCATGTCAGGCATGGCCAACAGCCTAGACCATGGTAGCCAGTTGTTGCTCTGTTGAAGTACTTAAAGCAGAACCTCACAGTCTGTTCACTACGGCTACCTGACTCAAACAGAGTCTTGATGTAACTGCCGACTTTCTACTAACCTCGGCATTGATCAAGTGATTTTGTTCGCACTTTTGCTGAGCAAACGCGAGGTGTTATTATTCTTTGTTCACGATTAAGCTGACGTTTCGGCGAATTTCGCCTTCTTCAGAGCCGCTTTCTATGAGGTCTCCACTAAGTATGTCACGTAGAGACCAACCGCACAGAAATCACGTGGAAGTATAATGAGTGCGAATGAGTCGCAAAAGTGCGAACAGAGTCTTGATGTTTTCGACAGTTTTTGGGGTGTCGTTGCAGAACTGGTGACCGAAGGGCGTGCTTTTTCGAAAATTTCGATCTTCCATTTTGATTCAGCTTTAACCTATTCCGCTCCGGCTCCGTTTTTCGTGGCTGGCTCAGCTGTATACGAGTGATTTTTCGTCGGCTGCGAACTCTTTGGTTTTTTGACAATAACAAATCTAAAAAAAACTAAGGGTCCGCATGATGTGGTAGTGAACGCGTTAGCCTCCTTAAAGGGTAATAGCATGTTCGTTTACCGCTGCAGACACTTGCGATCTGGAGATTTGAAAGTATCTCAGCATCATTGTGGTAATAAAAGTCTTTCCTTAATAACTGGAGGTCTTCAGGGATTTTAAACATGACAGGATTGTAGAAAGGGCTTTGCTCTGTCATTCATGAATGATCATGTATGCTACTGTTTGCTATGTGTTACTACGGTCCATACTGCAATTTCGTTGCTGTCGGCTTTTTAAAGAAAGGACTGCGGAAGCCATTAAACTAAATGTAAACACTATCTTGCCTATATGATCGTTTGGTTTAAACCGCCGTGGACACTATGGTGTCCATACGAGGCGGAATGGGTTAAACGGCTTCTGTCGCTGTTACCTTTTATGCCTTTACTGTATGATGTTTGAGGACAAAATTTGAAGTAATTTTTCAATTTAATAATTTAATAACAATGAGATAATTTAAAAACTTCTAAAAAATTTGTATACTAGTTTATCCAATTCAATGTCTCATGAGTAGTGGAAAGTTTTGTAGACCTGCTGCGAATGTTTTTGGGCAAAGGATAGGTTTTTCGACCCTGGTTTTATCACCAATGATGAGTTTTCATTCTTTTCTTCTTAGTTATTTGTCATTGCCGAATGTTCTATGTGGGAAACAAGAGGAAGGAAATGCTCAGAGTAATGCTAATTATGAATTAGATTGTGAGGAATAAGTCCTTTTCTCAAATCTTATTCACTTTTGACTTAATTTTCGTCCCTTAGTTTTTTCTTTCATCTTTTCATCTCATCTTTTCTGTTTCAGCAAGACATGTTGAGGTCGCTTGCTACAGTAAAACCGACAGTTAACAATGCCGATTTGACGAAATTGGAGCAGTTTAAGAATGATTTTGGTCAAGAAGGATGAAAGAAGGGTTTCTTGTCCGATCATCATCTGAGTCATCTCTACTGTATATTCGTGCTGGCTTTTCTCCTTTGCACACCGGTGTGCAGTCGGATTTGTTATGAGTGTGGAATGTGAGAAGTTTTTGTAAATATTAGTTTCGAAATATTGTTTCTTTTCGACAAGTGTTAGTACTGCCGTAGTGTGGATCTTCCGCTACGAACTTCTTCATTCTGGCTTTGTAACATACTTATTACAGTACTCGTTAAGTAATTTTTTCCATAAGTTCAGTCACTCAAGAGAAGTACTAAAGTGTGATGTTCAGATGAATTGGTAGAAGTGTTTTTAGTTCCTTAAGGTCACTGTTAATGTCCGTTCTCTTCTGATAGGCGTTTATTTATGTTTTCAAATTTCACAGTTTTTGTGGCTATGCGGTGAATAACGAGAACGGCAATAACAAGAAGATTGTTTTCATTATTCAACCTTTGTTCTATTTCGTACATGTTTGAAGACCACATTTCACATACTACTGGCATATGTTCCCATGTGACACCTATATGAATTCTGATGACTGCGAGAAATATTGTGGAATTTCAGCTTCCCTTTGAATAAAGCACTTTCGAACACTTCGAGTAGCAACTTCTAAGGGATGAACTGTATACCACATCACTCGTCGTTAAATGTAAATCGCACTGCTCCTTTCATTCATTCTGTTGTTTTGAAAAGTTCATCCATGAAAGTGGATGGTTTCGTGTGTGAGTTCGGCTGCGCGATTAGGCCATAGAATCCCGACGAATTCTTGGAAGCAGGGGCGTTCTTAGGTGTTCTCCACAGTCGGTCGTCGGTTCGGTCTGCGTTGAGCGAAGTGATGCTTGCTGCCCTGTTATCGAGGTTATTGCAGGGCGGTAGCGAATCCGTAGGTGGGTTCATGACGCCGTAGATTTCTGTGGTTGCTCGTGAACGATGTTAGGAGTCGAATTTAAACGCTAAATATTGAATATCCAAAACTTGTAGATCTTTGTGCGTTAATAAAGCAGCGTGAAGTGATGCGCGCAAAGGGCAGAAGATATTTGTACGATTACCTGAAGAAACTGGTTTCCTGTTCATGATTATGTTGTTATGAAGAAGAAAATCTACTGCCAACTGTTTAACCGAAGATTACGGGAGTTTTTTTGCACTGGGACTGATTCGTGCGTTATACCCAGCAAAAGTTTCGAAGCTGTGCCGTGATTATTTAGGGATTACAGCAGTTTGGCCCTCTGGTGGCCCTTCATTCATCATTTGTCATATGTGGACTTTTACAATCGCTCGTTTTTGGTGGTATGAACAGGTGTCTTCGGCTTTACTGGCTTTCCGTGAGTTACCAAAGAAATCTGGCATGAATTGCCGTCATTTCATATCTATTCGTTTTTGTGACGGATATGAGTACTTTCCATACTGGCGGATGCCATGCGTACTTCACTATAGCTTTTACGTTTTAAGGTAACACTACAGTTCTTAGTACGTCACGTTCAATATACGGAGTTTAACATATGCTTTGGTTTTCTTTGTCACCCTGAATTCTCCCCTCAACATTTCAAATATGGGATATCGTCTTCCCACTCAACGAACTATTGTGAATGAGGTAGGCTGAACACGTTCTCCGTCTGAACAACATCCACAGCAGGAAATCTTCATTAATTGTGCTTTACGGAATGGCAATCGCATAGAAAGATGGACAGTGATTCCACGCATACGCCTACTTCTTGACATCCACACTGAAATATCGAACTCTTCAGCTAGGTGATTATGCTGGGCATGAACTCAACTGTACTAGTGCTATTTCCGGCTAGTGTCCACTCTTTATAGTAGTTCTATGAAATTAAAAACCGCTGATTCCTCCCCGCTGCACGCTAACCAAGCACCTCATCCCATAGAGTTAGGAAATTACTACCAAACTTTTCTGGTACAAGCTCACTCCTTCTATTTCTTGCGAGGACGTCCTAGCACGGCTATCTCTGGGTTTGAGAGAGAATCGACTCAAGCAGCGTACATCGATATCTGTAACGAAGTCGAAAATCTTGAGGGAGTAGCCGAACCCACACGCAAAAATGGTTTGAAGACCTTCGTGGATGGTGAATGCAAGTAAGAGAATCGAATGGAACAATGGTGGTATCCGCACATTTTGTATACAATATGATGTTGGGTCATGTAATAAAAATACTACTGTTTAGTTTAGCAAACACGAGGTGTTATTTTATTTCTTTATTTACATACAAACTGACATTTCAGCTGATTTCGATTTCCTCAGAGCCTGGAAAGGTCAGGTTGACTACAATCTACACGGCCAAACACCTCCATAACCGAACAGAGAAAATGCTGAATAAAAATTTCAATCACATTGAACACAGAGTCTTTGCACACTCATCGCTTTCTATGAGTCTTCCACTAAATATGTTACGTGGAGACCAACCGCACAGAGTTCACACGAAATCGTATTGTGCTCCTCCCATCAGAATAGCAGTCTTATATACTGCCCAATATCACGCGTGATAATGAGGCATTCCTCCCTGCGGTTCATTTTCGGATTTCTGGAAATGATCCGGAACGCCTCAGGAATTTTGCGCACTTATGTTCTCGATTCCTGTGCGAGGATCATGACACGTACTTCAAAGTCCTCCCCGCTATGTCTCTGGGTCCTATGCGTGCCTTGTGGGGTATTTGGTTTACGTTTGCCGACTAGGTATTCTTTTATATGGACACAGAGTGGTCTACCCATTTCGCCAACGTATTGGTCCCCGCACACTTTACAAGAGATCAGATAGACTGAACCCGAACTCATGCAGTCGCCGTCTCTACTATTGGGGCAAATTATGCAATTTTGCGTTGCAAATAGACGGTCGCATAGGCGGTTACGAACTAGCTGGCGTCTTAGATTAGTCGGTGGCATTTCAACGACGTTTACCGAATTCTCCAAACCCGCCCTTTTTAAGCAGCGTTTTATAGCTGTACTTACATCATTTGAGATGAAGGGTAGGATAACCAGGACCTTTCTATCGCTAGAGTTATCGTTGGGGGCCTGTGGCTTCCTCTACACCCATTCTGAGCTACAGTTTCGTAGCCATTAAAAATGGCTATTTGCCGCGCCAAGTTCCGGGACTCCTTTCTCTGCTGTCTTCCCGTGCACAAGCTGGTAGCTGTTCGAAGCATGTTTCTTACAGGCGCCCTTTCCGTGTGAGAGGGGTGAGAGGAGAGGTGATGAACCAAGATGTTTTTACTACTTGGCCTTCGATAGCATTTCGTAATGTAGCCGTTTTCTGATAGGTTAACTTGCACGTTCAGAAATGGAAGGCGAAATGCGCCGAAATGTCGGCTTGTACGTAAATAAAGAAATAAAATAAAAGCTCGTGTTTGTTAAACAGAAGTAGAAAGAATTATTCAATCAATGCCGAGGTTAATAGAAAGTCGGACGTGGGAGTTACTGTTCAGTGTTTTTCGGCCGCTTTCAGTTTCCGTCTGAAATCTGCAAATATTTAAGTATAGCTCAGTAATGCCACGTTAGATTCATCATTTAAATGCTTTTGGCTAACGCCCACTATCGACATAGTTTGCTTAGTTTCTAAAATTCCTTGGTCCGTAAACTGCTAAACCTATTCTTTTAAGAAACGTTGACCGAATCCAATCCGTGCTGTGTGGCAATTACGCTCATCATCACCCTAACGACTTCAGATGGCAACATGTGGCATGCTCGTTCGGTTCGGTGAACTTGTCCATCGGAGCGCTGCACTTCAAGAGTAAGATAGCTGTAGTGAGAGCTGGACAATATAGAACATCTCACCATCATAACGTCGCTTGGATTCAGTTCATTGTCCGATCGATTTCCAATTCTTCTCGTAAGCAATCTCTCGATCTTTCTGACAAATGTTTCAAATCTTGGGAGCGGAGAACTCTTACGCGCTGTAATATCTTCGGTGAATGGATAATAAAGTGCTTAGTGCTGATCTGTTTCTTATGGATAGGCCATGCATTCTAATTCATTAATCATTGCAGACCACACACGCCTCGAGGCATTGGACCACCCCACGTCCCGAACTACGTCGAGCCTCCCATCTCTCCGGGATCGGAAAATTGTTACCAAAATTCTCTAGGAACAGATTAGCAATAACGTGTTGTATCAAAAGGATCACTGAAGTCATTGCATAGGCAAAATCTGAACTCACTGAGGCCGGAGACAGTCTGTAGTGAAAGCCTGCGACCGTTATTGCGTGGCTGTCAAAGACTTCTAGTGAAAATCATACTCATTCAGCATTCAGTTCACCACTGATAAGACGGATCTTCGAGCCGTAGCTGGTTGATGGACAGTGGAACGAATGAATGATGTACTAGGGCCTGTACGAAAAGCGAGGACATGCACTCTAAATATCTAAGTAAGTTCTCAGTTCTCTAGGTTACCACTTTCACATCGAGTGCTTGTTAATACAGTAAACCTGTTTTAACGAGCCATTTAGTTTTCGAACTACCTGTACTTCCAGCTATTCGTAAATAAATAAATAAATAAGTGGAATATTCACAATGTAGCAGACTTGCGGAATCATCGACACGTTTTCGAATTTTGTGTCTTAGCGTATTAGGATATCCGATGACTCCAGATGAATGGCACCGCTCTGGGCATCGGGGTTCTCGTATCGATCGCCTAGGCTTGCAAGCTGTCCAGACGGCTTCATTCCTCACCCATCGCCCACCAATGACCCACAACGAATTGAAATGCTAATACTTTCAACCATTCTACTTCATGTTATGGATCAAATTTCGGCTCAGGTTGGTGTAATACGCCTTCGTACACAAAATATCTTCGAAAAAGTGTCTTTTTTTGGTGATTTTCGGTAAAAGAAACACTCTCAACAACGTTTTAAGTAGGAAAACTGAGTACTTTCTGGATCATTTCTATTCACCGTATTTCTCAGAAATTCGGAGTTCTTAGTCAACAAAAATCTTTTTTCTTTGTGTTTTTTATTCGGTTGTGAGCTATCGTTTCATTAGAAAAT